AAAACAAAAAAGAAAAAAAAATCACACCACAACTTACCTTTATGGCCTAAGCTGAAATTCAGGTTCAGGTAGAGTTCCCTAAAGAAAAGAAGCAAAAGGAACGTTAATAGCGTTCCAAAGACAAAGAAAACAAAAATCCCACAAGAAAAGAAACAAAAGGAACGTTAATGGCGTTCCAAAGATAAAGAAACAAAAACAATCTCCCACACTACCTTACCTTCATAATCCAAGCTGAAATCCAGGTCCAGAAAGGCGTCCTTAAAGAAAAGAAGCAAAAGAAACGTTAATGATATTCCCAATGACAAAGAAAAAATAAAAGCATCAACTTACCTTCATATTCCAAGCCGAATCCAGGTCCAGGAAGGCGTCCCCTAAAGAAAAGAAGCAAAAGGAATATTAATGGCGTTTCAAAGACAAAGAAGAAACAAAAACAATACCTTCACATCACTTACCTTCATATCCCAAGCCGAAATCCAGGTCCAGAAAGGTGCCCCCTAAAGAAAAGAAGCAAAAAGAACGTTAATGGCGTTCTAAAGACAAAGAAGAAACAAAAACAATACCCTCACACCACTTACCTTCATATTCCAAACTGAATCCAGGTCCAGGAAGGCGTCCCCTAAAGAAAAGAAGCAAAAGGAATGTTAATGGTATTCCAAAGACAAAGAAGAAACAAAAACAATACCCTCATACCACTTACCTTCATATCCCAAGCCGAAATCCAGGTTCAGGAAGACGCCCTAAAGAAAAGAAGTAAAAGGAACATTAATGGTATTCTAAAGACAAAAAAGAAACAAAAATAATACCCCTACACCACCACTTACCTTCATAGTCCAAGCTGAATCCAGGTCTAGGAAGGCGTTCCCTAAAGAAAAGAAGCAAAAGAAACGTTAATGATATTCTCAATGACAAAGAAAAAATAAAAGCATCAACTTACCTTCATAGCCCAGCTGAAATTCAGGTCCAGGAAGGCGTTCCCTAAAGAAAAGAAGCAAAAGGAACGTTAATGACGTTCTAAAGACAAAGAAAGATAAAGAAAAACAAAAAAAAACCCACACCTAACTTACTTTCATGACCCAAGCTAAAATCTAGGTCCAAGAAGGTATTCCTTAAAGAAAAGAAAGAAAGGAATGTTAGTAACTCCAAAAAAAAAAAAACTGAATTTACCCCCTATTCCAATTAATCCTAAATTTCAAAGTCTAAGTCCATGTTCATGTCCGATCTTAAAGAAAAAAAAGGTGTTTTTTTTTTAAAAAAAAAAAAAATAAAATAAAATGACTGGATTATCTGATCAATCCGGTCATCCGTATAATGTCTGATCAATCTGATGTTATCTGAGGATCACATCCGGATTATTCGCGATCCGTTCATTCATAATCTGAATGATATGTTTTTTGATCAGATCGAATGACAGATTGAACAGATTTCACTGGAGCATATCTCTATTTAGGATATTATTAATTTACTATCATAGTGTCAAGCTGGATCCTCAAATCACATGCCTAAAGATTGGCCAAAATTAATCGCAAATATACTGCGCCACCTGATACAATATTTTTTTACCACATTTTGGGATCTAGAAAGGCAACCAAATAGGTGCAAAGAAAAAGCACTCCAATATAGAATCCAGCATCCAGCTAGTGCAGAAGGTCAGCATCCTCAACTTAAAATCAGATATATAAACAACTACAGAGGATCAATAACTCTATTATAGAATTTAGCATGTAAATGACTCAGAAACAAAAAGAAAAGCGTGATATTTAGATTATATAGTGGTAGTTAGGTTAAATGATAGGTGGTAGTTAGATTATATAGTAGTAAAAAATACAGATAACAAGAAAGATTTAAAAGGATAGCTAAAGTATAAAAAGATACCTGATACATAAAAATAAATAGATTATATAGTAATAATTAGATTATATTATTTAGATTATATAGTGGTAAGTAGATTATATTATTTAGATCATATGATGATACTCAGATTATATAGTAGTATTTAGATCATATAGTGGTATCCAGATTATATGGTGATATTTAGATCATATAGAGGTATTCAGATTATATGACGGTAATATAATCTAGGATAAGTGGGATATCGCTATATAATATAAATTATATTATATAGCGATATTCTATTTGAGTTGCTAAAGTATTAAATATTTTTAAGAATACAGTTAGTTAAATTAAAAAAAAATGCAATGATAATATATTTATATTATATAAAACTCTTAAATAATTTAAATTTTAATCTGATAAAAAAATTTTAGAATTTTTATATAAAAAAATATAAATGTTAATAAAATATTTAAATATATTTTTATATATTTTAAAGACATTTAAAATTTTTTTAAAATTCTTTTTTTTAGAAGAATTTATCTAAAAAAAATATAAATGTTAAAAGATTATTAATTATAAGATTTGTATATTTGAATTAAAAATGATTTTGAATCATAATATTTTTAATATTATAGATTTAGTTTCTTTAATACATTTTATGATATCATAAATAGTTATTTTATCACATTAAATATTGTTAGCAATTTTTAATATAAATCATTTTATTTGTGATCATAAAGAAATGTTCTATATTATTTCAGCTATCAATTCTTTTATTTTAATCCTTTTATTTAAAAGAAAATTATTATTATTATTGTAATTAATATGCATTTATATCTTAAATAAATACTTAAATTAAAAATATATATGTATAAATAATATAAATAAAATGAATAAATAAAAAATACTTATAATTACCCTTTATATTTTTAAAAATTTTTTAACTTTTAATTTTATATTATTATAAATTTTATTATCAATATAATTATCAGAATTTCTATAAATTAAATATTATTTAAGTTAAAATTTTCAAAATTTTTATTAATAGATACAATTTTATCATTATATATATTTTATCATTATTTGTTAAGTTTTTTACTTTTAAAATTTAAATTTTTAATAAAAAGTATATTTCTTAACTCTTTAAAATCGCAAAATAATTTCATTTATACTATTATTATTAAATTAATACTATAATTTATACTATTTATTTTATATATAATAAAGAAAATTGCTTAAGTAAAAAATAAAAAAACTAAATTTATGCTCTTTTTATTAATATATTATATATAAAAAATAAAAATTCGAAAGATTAGATTGGTAGATATATAACTATTATAAAATCTTAAAATCTAATTTATTAAGTTAAAGCCTTCTTTTACTGTAATAGTTTTATTATAGATACCTACCAAAATCTTCTTAAAATAATTTCGTCATACCCTTTTCTATGTTTTTAATATAGTTTTGACAGTTTTAGCTTTCGTCGTATTGAATAAGTTTCGTTATATTCCTTATTATAGTTTTGTCTAAGTTTTGACTGTTATTAAGAGGTTTCATCCCTCATCTATAGTCCCTATATATTAAAAGATATCAATATTAACTTAGTAATATTTATAAATCAAAACTTAGAAGGTATTATATTATAATATTAAAATTGTTTTTAATCTGACTGATAAATATAAAAACTTGTAAATTAAATAATTAAAATAAAATGAGAAATTTTAACGAACATTACTAATATTAAAAATAAAATTAATTAGATAAATATGATTAATATTAAACTTAAATTTCAAATTATTTATGAATAATTGATCTATATTGAATTTAAGACTAAATTTTAAAAAAATTAAAATTATTCAATTCTATAATAAAATATTAAAAAATGCTATATTTTTTATATAAAAAATGCATCTCTTAATAAAATCATGTTTTTTTTTTTAAGATTGAGATAAGTAAAAGAAGTTAAAGTAAAGTATTTGAACTAGAATATATATTTCAATTTTCTTATGATTCAAATATAATAAGAGAGATAGTTATTAAAAATAATAAATAAAAAAAGATATCAAAAGTATTAGAAATGATAATAATTTAAAAAATTTAACCATCAAATTTAAGTTTAAAAATAAAGTAAAAAAACTTAAAAAAAAAATATACTAAAGAAAATATATTAAATAAACTCAAAAAAATATATATTAGAAAAGATATACTAAAGATTATAATATTAAATAAAAAGGTTAATCTATGTTTCTTTTACCTTTAAGAATATATAGTAAAATACATCTTATTTTTGTTCTTACTCCTAACTTTTATCTAACTAAAATAATTTTAATAAGTTCAAAAATTAAAATGAAGAAATAATTGACTTATAAAATAATTTACTTAATAAAGATTATTATATATAATAAATTTTAAATAATAAGAGAATTTTGTATTTGATTTAAAAAGTAATTAAAAAATTAAGAATAAAGTTATTTTTATTTAAAATTTTATTATATGCTTAATTTTTAAATGATTTCAAAAAAAAATTTGAATATACTTGATAAAAATTGAAAAATATAAATCAAAAATAAAATTATTAGGTAAAATTTAAAGGTTAACAGATTATTTAAATAATAAAGGTAAAATTTAGTAAACTTATTAAAAAATCTTAAATCTAAAATATATTTTAAATAAATAATCTTAATCAAGAATATTAGATTTTCTTTAAAATACTGTAAATTAAAAAATATGGGTTGATTGCTAGGAAAATCAGGTTCCGGGAATTTTTTAGTAAAATTGAGATTTTTATTGCATTTTAGTTTTTGATGTTATTAGATTAAAATGTATTAAGCTCTTTATTTTAGTCAAAAATTTCTCGGAACCTGATTTTCCTAGAAACACTCCCATATGTACAAAAAAAAAAATCTTTTAAATATATATAGATATTATGTAATTCTCCAAACTCCTCTAAAAATAAAAATATGATCACGTGATATTATAAATATGGCACTTTGGTTATTTTAACCCTAGGATAAATTTCCCCGTCCCTAACCGAGACTAGCTGGTAGATTCTCGCGTCAAGTTTTTATTTGAGTAGAAACGTCTCAATAATAATAATAAAAAAAAAATACGGGAGCTCGCGTCACGAGAAAAATTTTTTTTTTTGATAATATCTTTCAACCATAAGAATGGCCAATGCTCGACAATTTGCTAAATGTGAAGAAGTTACAGATGATGAATTAGATTTTATGATGTGTGTAATCAAACGCAATAATTACGAGTGGTAACCTTATATAAATTTTGCTTACAAACGCAAAGAGCACTAATGGGAAAATACATTAACCTAGAACACAATCACTCTGGGAAAGATGAACTGCAATTAAATATTTAACCACGGTCAATTCAAAATAACATACTCAGATTTTAAAACTTAGTAATTTGGTACGATAATAGTCATTTATTACATTTACTTTATTATTGCTTTATCTATAAATCACATCAATAAGATAATATTTTATTATCAAAGACAGTAATAACACATGAAAATGGCAGAAAATATCCTTTGAGGTAACCAAGGACTAAAAAGGCAAATGTATATCTTTAAAAAAAACGGAAGAAAAATCAGTGGATCATGAGTTTTTATTCACCATAATATAGTGGCTTCTGTGCCAAGCCCAACGGAAACAACTAAGCCTCCAATATTCTTATTACGTAATACAATGTTCATGATTGAACATACACGTGCTATCAAATAAATCGATTGTAATACATCATGGAAATGTATAAAATCAATGTTTGTCTCCGAAAAAAGGTCTCGTTCTTTTTTATGAATTAAAGAAAGTATATATATATATATATATATACCTACTTCTTTTTTAAAGAAATGTTATTATGAAGTTAAATAAATCTTTTACGATATTTACATTTGTATGTTTAATTTGTTTTTTCACATATATTGTAACGGCAAGTCCAATACCATCTCCAACAACAACAGCTTCGAAAAATTCAACGACAACCAAAACAACAACAACATCGACAGCGATACCATCACCATCTCCGACAACAGCGGAAGCAATATTTACAAATCCATCGCAATATCCAACGGCAATAACAGGTCAAATAAGGTTTAATAGTATCTCACAAAACAAGACGAACGTTAGTGGTAAATTGGATTCGGGAATATTTGATCCAGAAGCAGCATATTACCATTTTAAAATTATAGACAGGTCAAAAAATTTATTATATGATTTAACTGCTGATGGTTTGACGGAATGGAGCGTCGAGGTACCCGGAACAACTTCATTCAAACATGATTTTGATAAATTACCAATTGATAAAATTGTTGAGCAATTTTTAGAAGTCAGTCATAGTAAAAAGGGTACTATTGGGATGACTATGATTAAACCTATTTAAAAGAAATGTATAAATGTATTGTAAATACTGAAATAAAAAAATATATCTAGCGAAATGAGGAATTTGATTATCACCATTCTCCCAATTAACTATCATTCAGAATCGCATCTATGATGTTACTTAATTGGGAAAGTACACTAGACAGTAAAGTCTTATCATTTAAAAGAAAAAAAGATGCAGATTTAATCACGGAGCAGAATGAACAGTCGGGGGCAAATCGTTACTTATATTTCGCTAGTAAATTGCGTTATTGGTTTCCTTCGAAAAAAAAAAATGGTGAATGTTTCCTAAAATTATGACTCTCGTTGATCTACTATCACATCTTATCTGCTAAACCTTTTATAAAGGCATCGACCAACATTTCGGTATTAGTAGTTCTTTCTATTCATTAGAATATATCAAGATTACTGATTTTTTATTATTTATATATATACGATTAATTTTATATATAAAAAAATATATATAACATTTTTCAAAAATAACAATGAGTAAATTAGTGGCAGAGCGCGTATTTAGAAAGATAGTGTGCGCATTTAGAGAGTAAATTAATTAAAGATTTAGGACTGAATCAATGCCATGCCATGTATTTAGAGAAAAATTATACATTGCATGCATTTATAAAGTGTTAGTTAACTTAGCATTAATAACGATGATGTCTAATATACAGTAGATAGATATGGCATCCTCAAATTAGTACCTTTATAATATCGAAAATTCAGCGGATATTTCTCTATTTTAGATTAGAATAATCACGTAAACAATCTCTCTTTTTAATATTTATTTCGAACGAGTTCGATCTTTTACTTATCCCTTTTCTAATATTATATTACAGAATATATATATATATATATTTATTTTTACCAGTTTAATAAAATAAGATTCATCATAAATTAAATTTTTAAATAGTAAGAATCAGAAATTTAATCAAATGAACATTAAGAAGTTTTTATCATTAACAATGCATGATGATATGGTTTTTCCTAATTTCACAATATTATTACAAAAGTATTGTTTGGCACGTGATTATATATTTATAGATTTCATATATGTACAAGGAATCACCGCCCTACAATCACATGACAGATTTTTTATATTATGGCATTATAAGTACTTCTCTATTTCTATTGATCAATAATTTCCAATATAATGCAGTAGATAAAAAAAATATTACAACGTTTAACCAAGCTAAAGCAGTATTTGACAAATATAATTTACATTTTAATTGTAATTCCCATGGAATTTGTGAAGATTGTGTTGATGGATGTTTTTTTGTAGAATAACCGGGACACGTTAATTCTGGTGCATGATAATACGCGTATATGTTTATTAAACCTGTGTAAGGCAAATTAGAAAAACTAAGAATTTGAATAGAATGTGAAAAAAAAAAAAAAAAAATTAAATTAAAAAAAATTTCAGGTTACCGGCGATTATCCATACAATTGAAAATCCTCTGGTGTAAGAAAAAAATATATTTATAAATAAATTAAAATTTATCGCATAAAAGATCAAAGCATTTTTTTCAACATGGAAGGAAAGACACTAACCCTCCGAATGCAATATCTCGAATGAAAGAACTTTCCCTCCATAACATATTAAATTTAACAAATTGTACACCTAAAAAAAACAACAGATTTTGATCTTTATGAAAAGAAAAAGAAAAGTAATCAAATTTAAAGGTCTTTTTTATATATATATATATTGCTTACCATTGATAATAATCGTCAAAATCAATATAATATAAAATAATATTTTTATACCATATAAATTTGTTCTAAAGAAAAATCATTACAAATATAATTAAATATATTAAATATTAAATTCTTTTGAAAAGTGGATTCCGGTTAATATTACCTTGAATTTTGATAATAATCATGCATGATATTATTTGTATCATGTGCAAAATGTAATGTAAATGCTTTATATTGCGTTATTTCTATTGATTTAATATAGAGGAAAACGTTTAATTTGGAAATTTAAACTTGTTATCTTGAAACATAACTAAAGAAGATTTCTATAAGTTTACTTAACTAACCTGACGCTATAATAGCAAAGGTCGTTAAAATTGTTAAAAATTTTAATGTTCGAAATAATATTGGATATTTCTCAAGCACCATTATGAATTAAATTATATCAAATTTGCTACTAAATGAGTAATTAAAAATTCATCGTTAAAATTTTTATTGTAAGATACATTGGAAAAAAAAAAAGTATCCTCCATTTCTGTATAATGGATTGAAAACTAACTCATTAAGGTTAACAATTCCGATCTTTTTATAATTTACCATGTCGATCATTCACCATCAAAAATTTCCCACGAATTTCTCATGTAGAAAAATTCATTTCCTTTTTTTTTTTGTTATGGATCAATCAAATTCAGGATCAACTTCTAAAGCAGTATCTAAGAACAACCCTCCTCACATACCAACAGAATGTTTTCAATGCATCTTTTCATTCATTGAAGATGATTTTCAAACTTTATACTCCATATTATTAGTAAATAGAATTTGGTGTAAAAATGTAATTCCGTTCCTTTGGAAAAAGCCATTTACTCTTTCATGTAATACAGAACCATCATCACTTTGGAAGATTATTTCAATTTATCTTTCATATTTACCAGAAGATTTTTTGACCATTCCTGAGATGCAGAATATTAAGCAATGTACATACAAGCAAACGACAATATTTGATTACGTATCATTCTTGAAAGAACTTAATTACAAGAAACTGTATGAAGCTATTTCAAAATGGACATTTGAAAATAGAATATTTTTTAATAAAGAAGATGATATTGATATTGATCTAGAGAGGTTATCGTTTGGAGAATCTGTAATGAATAGGGATATAGAGAATTCTCGGGATCTTGCTAACGATGAATGGGGATCATGCGAAATAGATAATTCAATTATTGATAATTCAATTATCGACATACAAGATGATGATGATTATTTTGAATATCCTGATGACAACGAGGTTGAATCATTTGTTGAATGTGATGATGATTTATATGATCAATTTGATTGTTATGAGAGTTCATGGAGTGATCCGGAATATTATGTTGATGAGATGGAAAGTATTGAGATACCGTTTGAAAAGTCTTTGGTAACTAAAAAGCTATTGATCGCTAAAGAGATTTGTTTGTATTTAATGAGTCATTGCAGAAATTTTGAGCAACTTGTTTTGGATACTCGAGGTTGGTCAAGGGCCTTATCTATTGCTTCACGTGATTATATTTCTTTACCTTGTTTCCCTGGAGCGTCCGAATGTTTATCAAAGCTTACTGTATTTGTTTTAAGTGGCGAATTCGATAAGGCCGATATACTCGATGCGATGGCTATATACTGTAAGGATATTCATTCTCTTACAGTTGTTGATTCGTATCATAGTTCACCTCATTCTTTAGCGAATCTCATCAACGCTCAAAATGGACTAGCTTCATTCACTTGGATTAGTGGAGGTGAAAATGCTTCTTCGATCTTATGGTCATTTGTAACCCAAAGTGAAAGTCTTAAAACTATTAATTTGCTTAGGGCTTATACAAGAGATTATGATGCTTATGATGGTTTGGCTGCATGTAAAAATTTGGTGAATTTACAATTAATGGAATGTCACCTTTCAAGTCTCCACATGAAAGCTTTGGCTAACGCAGATTTTCCTCATCTCAAGTCAATTGAAATCAGTGACCCTCATAACTATGAGGACGAACAAGACGAAGAAATTGAACCACCTTCATTAGAATTGACCAGTTTGATTCACAATGCTAGTAAACATCTCCAAGAAATAAGATTAAATTTAGAGCTACATTTTTATCCTGGAATCATTGAGACAATAGCAAATAATTGTCCAAACTTAACTTTATTTTCAGGAAGCATTAAAAATGATGAACAAATTATTGAATTAATAAAATTATTAATTGGCTGTAAATTGCTTGAAAATTTAATTATCAATGGATCTTCCCGAAGTAGTTTGCTTCCTGTTGATGATATGTTAGCTCAGATCGGTCAATCAATTCCAGAAGGTCTCAAATATTTAGATTTATCTAGATGGACCTTTTCTGGAAAATCTTTGAACCAATTCTTAATAAATTGTAAAGCCACATTAAGGTGTATTTCTTGGCATTGTTTCTTTAGTTGTGATGAACATAAGGAAGCAATTGAACGTTATGCTAGAGAAAGGGGAATCAGCGTACGAGAATTTCGCGTTGGATCATATGAGAGTGGATATGCATGGCAAAGACATGTTCATGTTTTGGTTGATTTTGAAATTCCGGAATAACAAAAAAAAGTTATTGAATTTATTTTGTAATAAAATAAGTTTTAGGTAATAAAATTTTTATTTTTCCTTTAACTTTTTTTACAGATTAAGAGTTTGAGAAATTTTATATATTACATTAAATTGTCAAATTTTACTTTTTTGTAGGCAAAAAAAATCTCATTGTATAGTAGAATGTTTATAATAATCATAATAAAAACTTTCAAAGAATATATTTGCACTGATTGCAAAAAAACGCGCATGTTATTGTACATAAATAAATTCGATAATAATTAAATTTTAAACCTTTTGATCTTCAATTAATAAATAATTAACCACTATCCCTTAGATTATCTAGCAGGCAAATTTGCCTACGAACTTAAAAAAATATGTTATTTTTTTAATAAAATATTAAGGGGAATCTTAACCTGCACCAGGGGGTCTAGGATTTTAACCTGGACCCTCCAAATTTGATTGGTTCATCATGATCCCAGCCACATTAATTAATTATTTGTTTACTGTTTACCATTACGCACGATA